AAACTAGATCAATGATCATAAACATTTTGTTCCACGTTTACGTTTGGTTTGAGCAGAAATTGATTTCAGTTACATTAGGCCATGATGATAACATAAAGATAAAGTACACAGTGTAACATCTGATATTCTTGAAAGTCCAGTATCTAGAACGGAACTTATTTGATGGAATTTCTCACCTTAAAGATAATAAAGCATCTGGAAATGATATAATCATATACAATATTATATAATATGATAGCAGAGTTTTTCAAACATTCCTCAGATGTTTTTATTTCCTATTTGGGACTTATCTTTTTATATCTTTTTTGAGATATTCCATTTTCTAGATAACTGAACAGTTGACATTATTGTTCCCGTCACAAACAGGGCGCAACCAGCGATGCTAACAGTTATAGAGGCATAACTCTCCTCAGTACAGTTAGTAAAATATTTACTTCAATCGTTTTCTTGGTGGATTCTTACAATAAAATAAGTGAGTCACAAGCAGGTTTTAGAAAGGGATACTCCACCAAATTTAGACATATCTATCAGTAAACAGAGGGAAGTTATGTGCCTTATTCGTAGATTTTTCAAAGGCTTTTTACTTGGTGAAAAGGGTTAACTTGTGGTTAACATGGGCTAAGTAGCAGAACTTGAGGGTTATTGTGTTCTTTATATGAAAATGTGAAAGTGTGTGTTCGGAACAATTGTATCATTTCAGATACGTAGCATGGATGTCAGACAAGGGTGTATATTAAATCCCTTTCTATTTTCTTTTTTCATAAATGAATTAGCATATCAAATCCAAAATAATTGCACTAATTACAACTTCATCCCGAAACTATTACATTTTGTGTGTGCTGCTTTTCGTTGATGATATAGTCTACTACTCGAGCACAAGAACTGACTTGCAAAAGCACATACATGTATCAGAGAGTTTATTATGACGGGTCACAACTTACTGTAAACTTGGATAAAACCAAACTTGTAGTTTTAAAAAATTGTGATGACATCAAAGAATGCACATAACATTTCACTGCATGTCAAAAAATATTTCGTGGTTGTTGTTTTTTTATTTTTAAATTTTGGGACAATATTACATATGATGTTTACTTTAAAATATTAGATACAAAAATAAGCCCCACGCTACAGTATGGATCAGATATTTGGGGCCTCTAACATTTGAATGATATTGATAAATTTATATGCATGTAAAAACCTCTTGGGTGTAAAATCTGGCACAAAAACGCAAGGGTATATGGTTAAGGTTGAGGGTTTCCCATGTATATCAAAACTTATTTAAAGGTTATTAAATACTGGGTCAAGTTATTAAATATGCCATCTTCAATAAGATTTTATAATATGATGCTTCACTGTCACAGACATGGGAAACTAAGTTGGGCATCCAAAGTTAAAAATTTGTCATACCAATACGGATATGGTTATATTTGGTTACAGCAACATGTAGCTATATATAGATATGCCACAGCATTTCTTCACCCGTTAGACACAGGCCTTAAAAGATATGTTCATCCAAAAATGACATGATTCCTTGTCCAGTTCTAGAAACGCAAATTATTACATTACATTTAAGACTGCTATGATACTGAAACCTATGATATTTAAATTAAATTTAATTCATTTTAGACCTACCACAACCCAAATGGTAACAATTGTTTTGTAAATTATTGACATGTGATTGTACGGAAACATGAGACATTAATCTATGTTCATTTATAATGCCATGAAACTAAGAAATTGTATGATTTTGTTACACGCCCCAGACAATTACTGTAGGCTTTTTGCCTTCTCAGTCCCATGAATAGAGCTTGAATAGAATCGATATTTAGTCCTGTCACAAAGACGTCCCTGTCATAGTAAATAAATGAAATGGCGTGTGGTGTTCTGCTTTAGCGTTCCAGGAAATCAGCAACGTTTGTGCTTCCAGGAAACCGGTTGTGGCGTTGCACTTTGAGCCCCTTGGCTGTAGCTAGTTGAACAGATTGAGTGAGTGAGTGAGTGAGTTTGGTTTTACGCCACTTTTAGCAATATTCCAGGATTATCACGGCGGGGGACACCAGATATGGGCTTCACACATTGTACCCATTGTCGGGAATCGAACCCGGGTATTCGGCGTGACGATCGAACGCATTTACCACTAGACTACCAGACCGCCCCTTTTAGACTTGAAAAGATTAATACAAGATAAAGGCGTTTTGCTACCTTAGCTATGGTGAGCATCCCAAACGGTTTTTATCATCACATACATTATCATGTACACGCAAATCTATATTACATCCTGCCTCCACTGCCCACAGCCAGTACATACTTAATAATGAATGTGAGGGTATCACTTTATTCCATATATTCCAGCAGCACCAACCTTTGGTGTTTACATTTCACAATTTTTGAGATACAATCGAGCATGCTCTTTCAAGGCCTCAGTAAAGCTTTAAAAAATGTTTGATGGTAGACATATGGAGGCAATTCAAATTTGACGCATCATTGACAAAAATGATGTCCGATGCAATTCCCTATTTTGATCTTATGCCATATGTTCCCGTGCTTTTTCAGGTTAACAATTGACTTGCCTTTGCATGTGTTTGTGACGTGTGGCACCGGTGAGGGATGGTAACGATCACCTTTTAGTGAACACCTGGTATCATTTCTATTTGATAGTGGTTCATAAACATATGCTCATGACGTAGTCGGAATCAGACAATCCACTCTGCTTCATGCACAGATTTCTATTGGATATGGAAAGGGTTTTGTCGCTTTATTTACGTGACTTGGATGATGGATAGACCTTGATGCCTGCCCATAAATTACAGTGGCATCCCTTCGAGATCCCGGGGTCCACACTATTTACTTCATCATTCACAGAGACCTTGCCAATTGCTGATGGATGCGTTGAACAACATTCCTTCCCTTACTCTCCCAATGTTCATCCAATTCAGCAAACACTTTCTTAAGTCAAATGAAATGACACATTTTGTTCTAGATAATCCCTGGGTTCAGACTGAGCTGTAATAACAGACAGACAGACAGACAGACAGAAAGACAGACAGACAGACAGACGGACAGACATACAGTCAGACAGACAGAAGTTTATTCAATATTTTAGGCCATATGACCTATAGTACAGAAGTGTTTTTTTGTATCAACGTTGTAGTGTCACGTGTAGGTAATAATAAGTTTACATATAATATTAACGTCTAATTTAAAAAATCTTCTTCAGGAATATTGACAGAGATGATATTGTATTAGCATTGCAGGAGTTCAACAAATTTTTCAGCGGTTGTTCATCTTTGTGCATAGTTGAAATCATAGGGTGGTATCTATTTCTAAGAAACTGATAATATTTACAAATGAGAAGAACATGAAACTCATCCTTATCATAGCTTTCATTACAATAACGGCATAAACTACTTTCTTTATCTTGTACATTTTTCTTTCTGAGGTTATTAACAATAAAATTATGCAATGATATACGTAATTTACACAAAGATCTTCTCAAAGTTCTATCCTGAAGTTCATATACATATTTTTCAGGAACAAGTAATGATTTTATATTTGTATAATGGCATAAAAACCTTGAGGATGATATTTGACAGTGCCAATATATCAATTAATCTTTGCTTAAGCATGAAGATAAATACTTTATCATTTCCAACATCTTGAGATATCCATGCAAGAGAAAAACCAGACATACAAAGAATATTCCTGATATCAGACACCCATAAACAATATTTACCCTTTTCATCAAAGGCTTTTAACATATTATAACAATGAAGAGGAAATCTATTTGAATTCATACGAAGTAGATTTATTCAATATTTAACTGCCCGTAGCTGGGATGAAACATAAAGACTGGTACGACCAGTTCCTCCTAGAATGGCTTTGTCAGAGGCATATTTACCGACATCTAAAAAACGTTTAAAGTACATGGCATGAATCATTATATTGGCATCCCCATATTTCTGGACCATACAGAAGAATTGGTGCTTTTGTTCTGTCAAAAATGTCCGAAACAACTCGGAAAGATATAAGTTTGTTTTCTTTAAAAACTCTATAGACAGGAATCAAGGCTTTACGTGCTTGCAGAGCCAACTGCGTACATGCTGTTGCCCATGATAATCGAGAAGATACAGTCAATCCTAAACATTTATAATATAAAACAACATTGACTGTCTTATTATACGTCAATTTTTCACATTTATTTAAAATACCACCTTTTCTGAAAACAATAACATTTGACTTTTTCAAATTTACTTTAAGGCCCCATTTCTCACAATATAGCTGGAGAACATTTAACTGTTTCTGGAGGCCCCTAACTGAAAATGAAAATAAAGCAACATCATCAGCAAATAGTAACAGCATTATATCAATTATATCTGGTGACACAAAGACTCCGTAATCACATTCATGATACATTTCAGTTACAAGTATATTTATGAAAAATATAAATAGGACAGGGCTGAGTACACAGCCCTGTCTTACACCAGCTGAAGTTCTGAAACATTCAGTGATTCCTTTATCTGTCTTGATACATGCCTTAACTAAGTACATGCTCTGTAGAACATTTGACAATTTGCCTGTTATAATTTATCCTTTAGTAATTAATAAAAACATCATTTTCTTTCTATCCATATAGTCAAAAGCCTTTTTGAAATCGATAAAGGCACAATAAAAATGGCCCTTTTGTTTACTAAGATATTTTGTACACAAAGATTGAAGAATAAATATATTATCTGATGGAGAATAGTTGGGTCTAAATCCAGCTTGGGATTCTGATAACAGGTCATTCACATCTAACCATGTTCTAATACGTTTTTCAATCACAACAGAAAACAATTTGCCAGTCACATTTAAGAGAGAAATACCTCAATGGTTGCTTGGATCAGCTGTGCTTCCAGATTTATGTAGAGAAATAATCATTCCAATATTCCAGGAATCTGGAAAAACACCAGTATCTAGAATTTTATGAAAAAGCTGCCTAAGATAAGGGTTTATGAAATTTGTTATACTTTTAATATATTCGGGGGGTATACCATCCTCACCGGCTGCTTTACCCACTTTTAAATCATTTAAAGCTTGTTTAATTTCATTTTCAGTAATTTCACCTGATAAGAGCTAGTCAGTAAAAGGCACATCATTACAATGTTGACATGAATGGGAATCTAAAAATTCCTGAACTGATTTATCAAATTCATTCACATCTCTGATAAAAGCTGGATTTAATAAATCCTTAAAATATCTAAACCAAGTGTCAGGGGTTATATCACCTTGTCGTGCGTTACTTCTCAAATAGTGCTTTATAGTCTTCCAGAACTCTTTAAAATCATTCATATTTATAGCCTCGGTTAATTTCTGACTCATATGTATTTTATACTCATTTTGCTTAGTTTTACACTTCTTTCTGAATTCAGTTTTTGCACATAAATAATCTTTTAAGTTTGAGTCACTGTTGAATGATCTGAAACGATTTAGTAGCATATATTTCTAAGATTTAAGTTGACAATAACAATACTTGTCAAGATGATTACGTGAATATGAATAGTGTTCTAAGGCTAGAATCTATTTCAGGCAAAACTGTGGTTCTCGAATAATCTTTTGAAATGTTTCAGCTGTTTTTTTATCAGCTATTTCTCGTCTGTGTCGTCCGAACAATTCTGGATAACCTTCAACTGCAGGAACTGGCCTATTTGTGTCAGACATACATATGTTCCATAGATGTGCCCATGTTTGAGAAGTGAATGATTTCATTTGTATTCCCATCGTTTTGAGATCCAACAATCCTTTAAGGTTCTTGTTGTGATCCTCTGGTGTGATAAAGTGTGGCCTTGAACCTTCCATGTTCCAAAATATCTTGTACAAGCACACGAAATGAACGTGTAGGGTGACATTTGGGTTAAAAGTATGTAATTGTTTTAGAACCATGCTAAAGATTTCCGCACATTCTCCACATGGGCTGTAATTCTGAAATATCTCAATTTTAGCAGATTCTTCTTTCTCTATCTTGGCTCTGAACTCTCTTCTTTCCAGGTCGTTAATTACTTTCTGCGTCAGCTTTTTTTCTGCATGGCGACACCGTCCTTTTCTTCTGCTTGATTTAAATACGCCATACAGCTCACTTCCCACGACACACACGGCGACACCCCTTCTTGGACGTGGAAATATAGGACATCCGCTCCTCCAAAATATCCCAAATATCCAAGCATCAGGTTGTCCATTCATTGTTTCATTGACTCCACCTGTAAGTAAACTGTGATCTCGTTAAACGTTTGTTTCTGAGCACGGCCCTTGTCACACAAAAGAAAAGAAAACAACGCTATTCCACCTACTGATGTTCAGGATGTTCCCTGAATGTTTGCACCTGTTTGTGTCTTCCTAGCTGATACGGTGTATTAAATGTCAATTCTAGCATGTAAAATACCCTGCACCCAGTCGCTACCACACCCTCGTGTTAATAGGTATACGTAGGACGGCAGAACACGAAACATTGCCGTTACACAACCAACAAACGAGCAAACACGAGAGAGAAATATTCTTTGAAAAGTTAGAGATAGATCTGAGGAAGGTAGAGAAATAAATTCCAAAATGTAAAAGGATGGTGGGGAATCGGCCCAGGATATTTGTTACTTCATAATCAATTATCTGACTGTGACTGACTGTGTGACGTATAAAATGTTGTCACTATAGATAGAGGTCCCTATGATAATAACTTGCACACTGTCGACAGTGTCTTCATCCAAGAAACAAGCAATATACCTTATTTTAAATAACAATACACAATAAACTAGCTTGTTACTTACAGGGACACGATAGCCAGTAGTTCACTGTTGACGGTTCATGCTGAGATACTGTATCCAGACTGACACGTTAAATGGAATCCCTGATTTATCATTAAATTGACATCACAGTTCATACAGAAACATACAGATATAAATAGACATTACGCATACATTGCTACAACTTTTGTTTCATCTTACTGTGACAATCAGTGTTAAAATGGAGTTAATAAAACATGTGAGAGTTGGAAGAACAGCGTTATGCCTTTCAGACACACTCACCAGACCCGGAGCTCCAACTAACGTTGATATACACCTGGCATCGCTGGGGGACCCACCCCGCCCACACACCCAAATGTCAATGAGTCATGTTAATCACATGCATGTCACAAGAATCAGACGTCGTTTACCATTGCACAACTTATAATGTTGACTCATTGAAATACTTCGTAAACTTGTGTTCGTGTCAACCTATTGCTGAACAGTCATACTTTATACCCTAATGCAGATACAACGCCGGCAGTCACTTTATTATTGTTGTCCCCCTTTCCCTGAAACAGACTTCTTAGAAACTGATTTTGACACGCCCACCATACATTGATCTGATCACTGAGCGCCGTCTGCATGTAGTGTTTGCATAACTCGTCAGAGTTGTATCTGATTTATTGCCAGATCATATAACTGTTAACGATACTGTATTTGTTAAGGACATTGATGTCATGTCAAATGGATCCGTGTCTGCATACAATATTAACATAGGGCTCAGTGTTACACACCCTGCACAACTCTGTTGCGTGGTCGAATTGAGCGATCAATCATGGACACAGTGTACCTGAGCTGACCATTGTTACGGTCTCTTTTTCAAACATTTCTTAATTGTGTTGACTCTTTGAAGTTAAGCAGTACCACCCTGTAGCAAATGCTCTTGACAATCGTATGTGTTCATCGTATTTATTGTATGTCATCGTACCCAGATGGCGTGGATCATTGTATGTCATCGTACCCAGATTGCGTGGATCATTGTATGCCATCATACACCAGATGGTTTGGATTATTGTATGCCATCGTATCCAGATTGCGTGGATCATTGTATGCCATCATACACCAGATGGTGTGGATTATTGTATGTCAATGTACCCAGATGGCGTGGATCATTATATGCCATCATACTCCAGATGGTGTGGATCATTGTATGCCATCATACATCAGATGGTGTGGATCATTGTATGCCATCGTACCCAGATGGTGTGGATCACTGTATGCCATCATACACCAGATGGCGTGGATCATTGTATGCCATCATACACCAGATGGTGTGGATCATTGTATGCCATCGTACCCAGATGGTGTGGATCGTTGTATGCCACCATACACCAGATGGCGTGAATCATTGTATGCCATCATACTCCAGATGGTGTGGATCATTGTATGCCATCATACACCAGATGGTGTGGATCATTGTATGCCATCGTACCCAGATGGTGTGGATCACTGTATGCCATCATACACCAGATGGCGTGGATCATTGTATGCCATCATACACCAGATGGTGTGGATCATTGTATGCCATCGTACCCAGATGGTGTGGATCATTGTATGCCACCATACACCAGATGGCGTGAATCATTGTATGCCATCATACTCCAGATGGTGTGGATCATTGTATCCCATCATACACCAGATGGTGTGGATCATTGTATGCCATCGTACCCAGATGGTGTGGATCACTGTATGCCATCATACACCAGATGGCGTGGATCATTGTATGCCATCGTACCCAGATGGTGTGGATCATTGTATGCCACCATACACCAGATGGCGTGGATCATTGTATACCATCATACACTAGATGGTGTGGATCATTGTATGCCATCGTACCCAGATTGCGTGGATCATTGTATGGCATCGTACACTATTCCATCTTCACAATTACAGGGTGCACTACACACAACAAATGGTTGTGTTACAACCAAGAGTGTACTGTGTGGAGCGGGGAGTGTGTTATCTGCAACGGAGGGTGTACTAAATATACCAACAATGGGACCAACAATGTTTACAGGTCTTTACAGTGTTGTCACTACCCCTAGTGTTTACAGGTCTTTACAGTGTTGTCACTACCCCTAGTGTTTACAGGTCTTTAGAGTGTTATCACTACCCCTAGTGTTTACAGGTGTTTACAGTGTCGTCACTACCCTTAGTGTTTACAGGTCTTTACAGTGTTGTCACTACCCCTAGTGTTTACAGGTGTTTACAGTGTCGTCACCACCCCTAGTGTTTACAGGTCTTTACAGTGTCGTCACTACCCCTAGTGTTTACAGGTCTTTACAGTGTTGTCACTACCCCTAGTGTTTACAGGTCTTTACAGTGTTGTCACTACCCCTAGTGTTTACAGGTCTTTACAGTGTTGTCACTACCCCTAGTGTTTACAGGTCTTTACAGTGTTGTCACTACCCCTAGTGTTTACAGGTGTTTACAGTGTCGTCACTACCCCTAGTGTTTACAGGTCTTTACAGTGTCGTCACTACCCCTAGTGTTTACAGGTCTTTACAGTGTTGTCACTACCCCTAGTGTTTACAGGTCTTTACAGTGTTGTCACTACCCCTACTGTTTACAGGTGTTTACAGTGTCGTCACTACCCCTAGTGTTTACAGGTCGTTACAGTGTTGTCACTACCCCTAGTGTTTACAGGTCTTTACAGTGTTGTCACTACCCCTACTGTTTACAGGTGTTTACAGTGTCGTCACTACCCCTAGTGTTTACAGGTCTTTACAGTGTTGTCACTACCCATAGTGTTTACAGGTGTTTACAGTGTCGTCACTACCCCTAGTGTTTACAGGTCTTTACAGTGTTGTCACTAACCCTAGTGTTTTTACAGGTCTTTACAGTGTTGTCACTACCCCTAGTGTTTACAGGTCTGTACAGTGTCGTCACTACCCCTAGTGTTTACAGGTGTTTACAGTGTCGTCACTACCCCTAGTGTTTACAGGTCTTTACAGTGTCGTCACTACCCCTAGTGTTTACAGGTCTTTACAGTGTCGTCACTACCCCTAGTGTTTACAGGTGTTTACAGTGTCGTCACTACCCCTAGTGTTTACAGGTCTTTACAGTGTTGTCACTAACCCTAGTGTTTACAGGTCTTTACAGTGTTGTCACTACCCCTAGTGTTTACAGGTCTTTACAGTGTCGGCACTACCCCTAGTGTACATACACCCTGTGCACTCAAAAGACCCAACACGTCCGATGGCAGATGGCCCAGATGGTGGAAACACGAACATATATATATGTACACCCGAAACACAAGTGTCAAAACGTGTGATGTCTCCCTGGGCAGGTGAGTTCAAATGTGCCTCTGTTCACCCAGCATGGAATGGGTACCCGATATGTGAGGTGGATGTAAAAACCTTCTAGCGTTCCTTGGCAACTGTGGTTGTATACTCCCAAGGGCGTTGAGAATGATAACTGGAATGCACACGGACTCCCTTGCGGGGAACAAATAAAACCGCATTTGGGCGGATACTAGTACCTTGATCCCCAGTACCTTGATCCCTGCGGTATATACAGGAATGATATAATGATAATAAAACACGATGTGCAAAGTACAGGACCGTGTGTACTATATATAGCAAAGGGCGTATTGTGTATACAACATACGGGGTCTGCTCCAACAGCACAATCCATAGTATATACAACAGCACAATCTATAGTATATACAACAGCAAAATCCATAGTATATACAACAGCACAATCTATAGTATATACAACAGCACAATCTATAGTATATACAACAACACAATCTATAATATATACAACAGCACCATCTATAGTATATACAACAGCACAATCTATAGTATATACAACAGGACCATCTTTAGTATATACAACAGCACCATCTACTGTATATACAACAGCACCATCTATAGTTTATACAACAACACAATCTATAGTATATACAACAGGACCATCTTTAGTATATACAACAGCACAATCTATAGTATATACAACAGCACAATCTATAGTATATACAACACCACCATCTACTGTACATACAACAGCACCATCTATAGTTTATACAACAACACAATCTATTGTATATACAACAGGACCATCTTTAGTATATACAACAGCACAATCTATAGTATATACAACAGCACAATCTATAGTATATACAACAGCACAATCTATAGTATATACAACAGCACAATCTATAGTATATACAACAGCACCATCTACTGTACATACAACAGCACCATCTATAGTTTATACAACAACACAATCTATTGTATATACAACAGGACCATCTTTAGTATATACAACAGCACCATCTATAGTATATACAACAGCACAATCTATAGTATATACAACAGCACAATCTATAGTATATACAACAACACAATATATAGTATATACAACAACACCATCTATAGTATATACAACAGCACAATCTAAAGTGTATACAACAGCACCATCTACAGTATATACAACAACACCATCTATAAAATATACAACAGCAAAATCCATAGTATATACAACAGCACAATCTATAGTATATACAACAGCACAATCTATAGTATATACAACAGCACAATCTATAGTATATACAACAGCACCATCTATTGTATATACAACAGCACCATCTATAGTTTATACAACAACACAATCTATAGTATATACAACAGGACCATCTTTAGTATATACAACAGCACAATCTATAGTATATACAACAGCACCATCTATAGTTTATACAACAGCACAATCTATAGTATATACAACTACGTGTGCAGTGTATACTGCTATTTAATGCTACCGCACATGTAACATGAAAAGGACAACAATATCCAGTGTGGAGAAGTCTATACCAGAGAGGCAATAGATGCAGTTATTGCACACGTAATCTGTTGTGAAGGCGTGAATCGGGTATATATGTTTTGTGCGACATAACGGGATCAAACAGCAGAATTCGAAGAAGAACACTCAACACCTGTACATCATACGAATCAATCAATCAATCTTTATTCATGGTACTTATGAGGCCAAAGGCCTATAGTACAATGTGTGGGGCGTGTTACAAATTCATACATTTTCTTAGTTTCATGGCATGATAAATGAACATTGATAGATTTCTAATAGTTTCTGTACAATCACAAGTCATTAATTTACAAAATTTGTTACCGTTTGGGTTGCGGTAGAAATAGTTATTTAGATATTTTGCTCTTAAATCTTCATACACTGGACATACACATAAAAAGTGATATTCATCTTCAGTACAATCAGTTTTACAAATCCTACAAAGTCTGTGTTCTCTTGCAATACCTTCATATCTGCCTGTTTCAATAAATAGATCATGTGAGCCACAACGGAATCGAGAAAGAGCTGTTCTAAACTTATGTAAATTTACACTTAATAGATAAGGTTCTAGTATAACAGTAGTCTTAAATGTAGTGTTGTATTTTGCTTTTCTAGAACTGGACAAAGAACAATGCCATTTTTGAATGTACATATCTTTTAAAGTCTGTGTCAAACGGGAGAACAAATGTTGTGGCATATCTACATGCAATACGAATCAGTGTGTACGAATACTGAAATTGAAACACTGAACAAACATGCAGTCCCTAGCGTGTAGATGCCTACTTATTGATATATTTGAAGCCTCGGTCCCAAATTAAAACAAGAGGTAGCTACTCTGCTATGGGACTACTTCAAGTTTCGAAACATTGTAGGTTTATCTCCTAATTGACTCCACTGCGGGGCTGAAATGGGGGGGGAGCTGTGATTGGTTGTCTCTACGATGGAACCAAACAAGGAGGGCCGTGCTGCTGGCTGCCTCTACACTTCATCGGAACTTGGCGGTACTGTGGTTAGTTTGCTCTACCATTGTACCTGCCCGGGGGGCCTTGTGGTTGAATGTCTCTAGCATGGTATCTGACCGGGGGGCCTTGTGGTTGAATGTCTCTTGCATGGTATCTGCCCGGGGGGCCTTGTGGTTGAATGTATCTTGCATGGTATCTGCCCGGGGGGCCTTGTGGTTGAATGTATCTTGCATGGTATCTGCCCGGGGGGCCTTGTGGTTGAATGTATCTTGCATGGTATCTGCCCGGGGGGCCTTGTGGTTGAATGTATCTTGCATGGTATCTGCCCGGGGGGCCTTGTGGTTGAATGTATCTTGCATGGTATCTGCCCGGGGGGCCTTGTGGTTGAATGTATCTTGCATGGTATCTGCCCGGGGGGCCTTGTGGTTGAATGTATCTTGCATGGTATCTGCCCGGGGGGCCTTGTGGTTGAATGTATCTTGCATGGTATCTGCCCGGGGGGCCTTGTGGTTGAATGTATCTTGCATGGTATCTGCCCGGGGGGCCTTGTGGTTGAATGTATCTTGCATGGTATCTGCCCGGGGGGCCTTGTGGTTGAATGTATCTTGCATGGTATCTGCCCGGGGGGCCTTGTGGTTGAATGTATCTTGCATGGTATCTGCCCGGGGGGCCTTGTGGTTGAATGTATCTTGCATGGTATCTGCCCGGGGGGCCTTGTGGTTGAATGTATCTTGCATGGTATCTGCCCGGGGGGCCTTGTGGTTGAATGTATCTTGCATGGTATCTGCCCGGGGGGCCTTGTGGTTGAATGTATCTTGCATGGTATCTGCCCGGGGGGCCTTGTGGTTGAATGTATCTTGCATGGTATCTGCCCGGGGGGCCTTGTGGTTGAATGTATCTTGCATGGTATCTGCCCGGGGGGCCTTGTGGTTGAATGTCTCTTGCATGGTATCTGCCCGGGGGGCCTTGTGGTTGATTGTTCCTCGCATGAAACAAGCTTGGGGGGCCTGACACACGTCTGGCTTCCTCCGGTATGAGGTTGTCAGAACACTCTGAAATGTACCAAGACAAAGCAGTGTTATCCTATAACTGACAATACATTTAGACATTTCCATGAGGTTGTCAGGACATTCTGAAATGTAACAAGACAAAGCAGTGTTATCCTATAACTGACAATACAATTAGACATTTCCATGAGGTTGTCAGGACATTCTGAAATGTAACAAGACAAAGCAGTGTTATCCTATAACTGACAATACAATTAGACATTTCCATGAGGTTGTCAGGACATTCTGAAATGTAACAAGACAAAGCAGTGCTATTATAGATTTCATTTGCATGCCGTTAATCCAGACTTGATAGCCATGGCACAAGCAGGGACACTTCAATATGTCAAAATGGCCTCTTACCCAGAACTTTGCGAAGTGTTTCTACACAGAGAGCATCAACACTTTCCCTTTGCAGCTTGTATTGTTTGTCAAAGTCTTCATTCAGAGGAACGTTGATGCGACCGATAAGCTCCACCCACGTATTCTTGGTGAAGCCCTTCAATTTAATCCCAACAGACGCCATTCGTTTCAGACCGTAAACGTTTTTCCAGTGCGTTTCCTTAGTCAAAAAACGATTTATATTTGACGGGTGCTCAACATCGTCACATATTCTGTACAAAGATACAAAATGTACATGCAGCCGGAGCGTGATGCCCCCTGCTTCATATTCCTTCACAAGCCAAACATATCGTTCGGCACATTTTTCACATGGACTGTAGTTCTGAAATATTTCCATTGTCACATCATCTTGTATTTCTGGCAGGTTGTATATATAGTCAATAAGGTGATGCTCAGCATGTGTGTGTTTGCTTGTACTTCTAAATACTCGTCTGATCTTAATTCTGTTTACACCAACACAAAGAAGTGCCACACAACAACATGGTCGCAAATTATTTGGTAGTCTTGTTGTCCAATAGAAGTCCAAAAATCCTTTCTTAAAAGTCCGCGAAGCATCCATGGTATTCAGCAGAGTGACGCGCTGTAGGAGAGATAAGTAGGAATTACGTCACGAGTCTTACATGTTTAGGGATAATAAAATTATACTGATCTCACTTTTCCACGTTGTTTTGTGTTTGTTTGTTGTTCAACGCCAACTCAGCAATATTCCAACTGTATGATAGCGGTCTGTAAAAATCGAGCCTGGATCAGACAATCCAGTAATGGACATCATGAGCATCGATCCATACATTTGGGATACCATGACATGCATAAACCAAGTTTACAGTGGGATACACAGGTCGTGGTGTTCCCATTACTCCTGTTGTTTTATGTATAAATTGAAAATTTTAACTTACCATTATTTTAATCAATTAAGATAATAATTAAGATAATACTTACAACAATGACAACCCGCACCCACCCACCCCCCCCACACACACACCCACCTATCCCCCCCCCCCCCCCCCCCACATCCCCACCCCCACACACACACACACCCATACACAGACACACAAACACACACATCCAAACACAAACCCACACACACCCATACACAGACACACAAACAAACACACACACACACACACACACACACACACACACACACACACACACACACACACACACACACACACACACACACACACACACACACACACACACACACACACACACAAACATACTTGTAAGAACTGCCAACTGAGGACCTGAGACAAAACCATGCCAAATGGGGACTTAACTTTCTTAAAGCAATTTCTCCATATTTTTTTTTCATATTTCTAAAAAGGAATAGCTGGGCAATGCATTTATCATACGGGACATAATACTAGCAACTGAGGACCTTGGCGCATCCCAAGACAACACACTGGCAACTGAGGACTCAGAGTACACAATGTCAGCAGTGTTTTGCGGCCTGAATACCATTATTTTATGACATATTAGAGCATACCAGACGACTTCTTGTCGTCATCATTCTCGTTTTCTTATCATATACTACGTGTATGAGACACGTAAATACACGTGTATCTAAATAAAGCAGGGCTCCGACACTGACTCTGTTTCATTGTCTTAATGCCATCTAAACACAGCTCATTTAACGTCTGGCAGGATTTTCACCTTTCTTTTATCTATGACTTGGAAAACACACCTACAACAGAGAATTTGAGGAGTAAACTCTGGTGGTCTCAATGCCATGGAAACACAGCCTACTTAGAGCCAGTCGGGATTTTCCCCGTTCTCGTATCATAAGATCCAGACACAGGGAGTCATGTGGTGATCTATACCTGTCTAGAAGTGTCCAGGTCCAGACACAGGGAGTCACCAGGTGATCTTTACCTGTCTAGAAGTGTCCAGGACCAGACACAGGGAGTCATGTGGTGATCTATACCTGTCTAGAAGTGTCCAGGTCCAGACACAGGGAGTCATGTGGTGATCTATACCTGTCTAGAAGTGTCCAGGTCCAGACACAGGGAGTCATGTGGTGATCTATACCTGTCTAGAAGTGTCCAGGTCCAGACACAGGGAGTCATGTGGTGATCTATACCTGTCTAGAAGTGTCCAGGACCAGACACAGGGAGTCACCAGGTGATCTATACCTGTCTAGAAGTGTCCAGGTCCAGACACAGGGAGTCACCAGGTGATCTATACCTGTCTAGAAGTGTCCAGGACCAGACACAGGGAGTCATGTGGTGATCTATACCTGTCTAGAAGTGTCCAGTACCAGACACAGGGAGTCACCAGGTGATCTATACCTGTCTAGAAGTGTCCAGAACCAGACACAGGGAGTCACCAGGTGATCTATACCTGTCTAGATGTGTCCAGGACCAGACACAGGGAGTCACCAGGTGATCTTTACATGTCTAGATGTGTCCAGGTCCAGACACAGGGAGTCACCAGGTGATCTATACCTGTCTAGAAGTGTCCAGGTCCAGACACAGGGAGTCACCTGGTGATCTATACATGTCTAGATGTGTCCAGGACCAGACACAGGGAGTCACCAGGTGATCTATACCTGTCTAGATGTGTCCAGGTCCAGACACAGGGAGTCATGTCGTGATCTATACCTGTCTAGAAGTGTCAAGGTCCAGACACAGGGAGTCATGTGGTGATCTATATCCGTCATGAAGTGTCCAGGTCCAGACACAGGGAGTCATGTGGTGATCTATACCTGTCTAGAAGTTTCCAGGTCCAGACACAGGGAGTCATGTGGTGATCTATATCACTCTAGAAGTGTCCAGGTCCAGACACAGGGAGTCATGTGGTAATCTATACCTGTAGGGAAGTGTCTAAGTAAGGACAGAAGGAGTCATGTGGTGATCTATACCTGTCTAGAAGTGCCCAGGTCCAGACGCATGGAGTCATGTGGTGATCTTTACCTGTCTAGAAGTGTCCAGGTCAAGACACAGGGAGTCATGTGGTGATCAATACCTGTCTAGAAGTGTCCAGGTCCAGACACAGGGAGTCATGTGGTGATCTATACCTGTCTAGAAGTGTCCAGGTCCAGACACAGGGAGTCATGTGGTGATCTATACCTGTCTAGAAGTGTCCAAGTCTAGACACAGGGAGTCATGTGGTGATCTATACCTCTCTAGAAGTGTCGAGGTCCAGGCACAGGGAGTCATGTGGTAATGAATACCTGTCTAGAAGTGTCCAAGTCAAGACACAGGGAGTCATGTGGTGATCTATACCTGTCTAGAAGTGTCCAGGACCAGACACAGGGAGTCATCAGGTGATCTATATCTGTCTAGAAGTGTCCAGGTTCAGACACAGGGAGTCATGTGGTCATCTATACCTGTCTAGAAGTGTCCAAGTCAGGACACAGGGAGTCATGTGGTGATCTATACCTGTCTAGAAGTGTCGAGGTCCAGACACAGGGAGTCACCAGGTGATCCATACCTATCTAGAAGTGTCCAGGACCAGACACAGGGAGTCACCAGGTGATCTATACCTGTCTAGAAGTGTCCAAGTCCAGACACAGGGAGTCATGTGGTGATCTATACCTGTCTAGAAATGTCCAGGTCCAGGCACAGGGAGTCACCAGGTGATCTATACCTGTCTAGAAGTGTCGAAGTCCAGACACAGGGAGTCATGTGGTGATCTATACCTGTCTAGAAGTGTCCAGGTGCAGGCACAGGGAGTCATGTGGTGATCTATACCTGTCTAGAAGTGTCCAAGTCAAGACACAGGGAGTCATGTGGTGATCTATACCTGTCTAGAAGTGTCCAGGTCCAGACACAGGGAGTCATGTGGTGATCTATACTTGTCTAGAAGTGTGCAGGTCCAGGCACAGGGAGTCATGTGGTGATCTATACCTGTCTAGAAGTGTCCAGGTCCAGACACAGGGAGATAGCAGGTGATCTATACCTGTCTAGAAGTGTCCAGGTCATGACACAGGGAGTCATGTGGTGATCTATACTTGTCTAGAAGTGTGCAGGTCCAGGCACAGGGAGTCATGTGGTGATCTATACCTGTCTAGAAGTGTCCAAGTCCAGACACAGGGAGATAGCAGGTGATCTATACCTGTCTAGAAGTGTCCAGGTCCAGACACAGGGAGTCATGTTGTGATCTATACCTGTCTAGATGTGTCCAGGTCCAGACACAGGGACTCATGTGGTGATCTATACCTGTCTAGAAGTGTCCAGGTCCAGACACAGGGAGTCATGTGGTGATCTATACCTGTCTAGAAGTGTCTTAGTCAAGACACAAGGAGTCATGTGGTGATCTATACCTATCTAGAAGTGTCCAGGTCCAGACACAGGGAGTCATGTGGTGATCTATACCTGTCTAGAAGTGCCCAGGTCCAGACACAGGGAGTCATGTGGTGATCTATATCACTCTAGAAGTGTCCAGGTCCAGACACAGGGAGTCATGTGGTGATCTATACTTGTCTAGAAGTGTCCAAGTCCAGACACAGGGAGTCATGCGGAGAGCTATACCTGTCTACACGTGTCCAGGTCCAGACACAGAGAGTCATGTGGTGATCTATACCTGTCTAGAAGTGTGCAGGTCCAGGCACAGGGAGTCATGTGGTGATCTATACCTGTCTAGAAGTGTCCAAGTCCAGACACAGGGAGTCATGTGGAGAGCTATACCTGTCTACACGTGTCCAGGTCCAGACACAGAGAATCATGTGGTGATCTATATCACTCTAGAAGTGTCCAGGTCCAGACACAGGGAGTCATGTGGTGATCTATATCACTCTAGAAGTGTCCAGGTCCAGACACAGAGAGTCATTTGGTGATCTATACCTGTAGGGAAGTGTCTAAGTAAGGACAGAAGGAGTCATGTGGTGATCTATACCTGTCTAGAAGTGTCCAGGTCCAGACACAGGGAGTCACCTGATGATCTATACCTGTCTAGAAGTGTCAAAGTCCAGACACAGGGAGATAGCAGGTGATCTATACCTGTCTAGAAGTGTCCAGGTCATGACACAGGGAGTCATGTGGTGATCTATACTTGTCTAGAAGTGTGCAGGTCCAGGCACAGGGAGTCATGTGGTGATCTATACCTGTCTAGAAGTGTCCAAGTCCAGACACAGGGAGATAGCAGGTGATCTATACCTGTCTAGAAGTGTCCAGGTCCAGACACAGGGAGTCATGTTGTGATCTATACCTGTCTAGATGTGTCCAGGTCCAGACACAGGGACTCATGTGGTGATCTATACCTGTCTAGAAGTGTCCAGGTCCAGACACAGGGAGTCATGTGGTGATCTATACCTGTCTAGAAGTGTCTTAGTCAAGACACAAGGAGTCATGTGGTGATCTATACCTATCTAGAAGTGTCCAGGTCCAGACACAGGGAGTCATGTGGTGATCTATACCTGTCTAGAAGTGCCCAGGTCCAGACACAGGGAGTCATGTGGTGATCTATATCACTCTAGAAGTGTCCAGGTCCAGACACAGGGAGTCATGTGGTGATCTATACTTGTCTAGAAGTGTCCAAGTCCAGACACAGGGAGTCATGCGGAGAGCTATACCTGTCT